GGATAGTTTGTTCTAGTTTTGAGAAGTATGCTGGTGCAATTTTGATTGGAATTGCATTGAATGTGTAGAGTGCTTTAGGTAGTAATGACATCTTAACTATATTTATTCTTCCTATCCATGAGCATGGAATGTTTTTCCATTTCTTTGTGTCTTCAATTGGGATAAGAGAATTTTTAAATGAAGAAGATAGAAAAAGTGACTTAGTGGGGTGCCTGGATGGCTCAGTCAGTTAAGCATCTGACTTAGGCTCAGGTCATGATCTCACACTTTGTGAGCCTGCTTCAGATTCTGTGTCTCCTTCCCTCTCTCAAAAATAAACAAACATTAAATTTTTTTAAAAAAGACTTGTTATTACAAGTAATTAATACTCTAGGCTGAATTACTCTCTTATCAGAATTAACAGTCTGTGACCACATAGCTCTTTTATTTGCATACCACCTCTCTTACTATTTTAAAGCACCTAAATTTGAATATAACCATAGAATCTGAAAAGTAAATGTTTTCCATTTAGCGTTCCAACAAAGGGACAAGAGGACATTTGTTCAGGGAGTGAAATGAGATTATAAACTCTGAAGCCATCACCCACCCTACAGCCCACCTTGACCCAAAGCAGGAGGTGACTGCATTGTATTTAATAAATGAGCTGAACTTCCTTCCTGGTTGTTATGGCAACATCAGCTCTTCACAGTGTAAAGACTTCGGGTCATGAGTATTTTAAGAAAAGCTAATTACAAACAGACATTGTGATTAAAATGACCTAGAGGTTACTTCTAGAAAGAATACTGTGAATTGGTTTGGCTTTAAAGCAGGTAATTTGATTGCTCAAGGAGATAGAACAGTGATCAAAACAACAGATTCAGATGGAGAACAACGGAGAGTTCTCTTACAGTTGAAGTCTGGTGTGTTCTTAAAATCCAGTTGTTGGTCTTGGAAAGGTTGGGAAAGAGATCAAACTGATCAGGAAGTCATTTTGATAATGTGTATTTGACAAAAACACTTCATTAACATATTAACATATCCCTCCATACATAAATACAAAACACATTTTCTTAGTACTTTGTAGTAGTCACCCCTTTCCTAAATACTGTTGTTTTAATTCTTAAGTCTTAATGTGCTCAAAGTAGCCCTTCTTTAAAAACTATCCTTGGGGCACCTGGGTGGCTCAGTTGGTTAAGCATCCAACTTCAGCTCAGGTCATGATCTCACAATTCCTGGGTTCAAGCCACACATCGGGCTCTGTGCTGGCAGCTTGGAGCCTGGAGCCTGCTTCGAATTCTTTATGTGTGTCTCTCTCTGCCCCTCCTCTGCTTGTGCTCTGTCTCTGTCTCTCAAAAGTAGATAAAATGTTAAAAAAAAAATTTAAAAACCATCCTTGTCCACACTTTTATTTTCACCATGAATTGCCCAGCGTCTAGAGTACTTAAAAAAAAAAAAAAGAATAAGTGAAAGATGTAAGAATTATTCCTTATCAATAAACTAAGATTATATCTCTTTCCCCAGCACCCTGCACTTCTATCTCATTGTCATAGAGTTTATTCACCAGATTGGTTTCAATTCCTAGGGAGCTGGAAGAGTATTTATTATTTATATACTCTGATAAAAATTAGTAGAATGGGTTTACACTTTTCCGCCATGCACAGAGAAGGCAGACAGTAAATGTGAAACTACGGGTTCCCCTGGAATAAGCAGACCCCAGGCATGCAGTGTATTCGGTATTCTCTGAGACAGCACATCAGTTAAAGGGCCTTTCTAGATAGTACTTGATATTTTCTCCACATAGGTCACAGAGTTAAAGTGTTCAGCATTTCCTTATTATCCATATCGTGCATCATTTTGGCCTAAACAAAGGGTTTCGGGTAGAATAGCTCTTAAGCAAATTTATTTTTGGAATTACCTTTAAAGAGAAGTGAATACTACATAATAATGTGATACACCCTAAACAAATTAGTCTGTGAAACTTTGGCATCAGGAGGGAGTCCGGGGGGAGGACCCAGGCCCACAGCAAGGCTGGGGCAGCAGAGTTTGGCAGCACCTCCTTGACAAATACAGACTATTCAAGTCGTTTTCTTTTCTTTTTTAAAAATATTTTATTTATTTCTGAGAGAGAGACAGCGCGAGCAGGAGAGGGTCAGAGAGAGAGGGAGACACAGAATCTGAAACAGGCTTCAGGCTCTGAGCTAGCTGTCAGCACAGGGCCCAACGTGGGGCTCGAACCCACAAACCGTCAGATCATGACCTGAGCCAAAGTCGGATGCTTAACCGACTGAGCCACCCAGGCGGCCCTATTTCAGTAGTTTTCAAACTGGTATGGTTTTATCAACTTTTGGTATGTGCCAACCCAACAAATACATCTTTCTGTTTCTTTTTTAGGTTGCTCCTCTGTGTCTAGGAAGAGCTGGGGCTTGCGTTGTAACTGTCAAATTATAATGCAGTGCTTTGTTTTCTAAATGAAGATAACGTCTTCCTTATGAATTTAGGAAAATTATTCTACTACCACTGGATACATTTTTTAGCAAATTTGCAATGCCACATTCCTGGGCACAAAGTGCCCAATCTCCACGTAAAAATGATAAAACAAGGGAGGAAGGAGTGGATGAACTACGATTAAATCCTACATTTTGTAGTAAGTCATTTCTTAGCAAATCAAAACTACAGCTGGTGGATGGTGGACATATGTTCCTGGTATAACATATGCGGACAAACGCACTCCTCCTAAACACAACACAGCTAGGAACTTCATTTACTACTAACCACACTTTACTCCCATTACCCAGATTTCCTTTATTACAGTGCACAAATACTAGATAAAACTTTTAACATTTGCTTTGTAACTTTATCCTACATTAGTTGCACTAATTTTTATTTGTTGAACCACAACCACTATTTTAATGACACACTAAAGACTATGCTAATACTTAGTTTAATTTCAGAAATAGCTGCATCATATAAGCTTTGATTATGGATTTTATTTCTAAATCAGCTTAGTGTAATGAGTAAAGAAAACCATTAGAGCATTAAAACAATAATGACCGAACGAAAATGAAATGATCTTTGGGTTCTTTTAAAATATTCAGCCTATTATATTTAGATTCACTAAGAACCACGTTAGGATATTCTCAAATTGGAATAATTGAAACATGATATTTTGCATTACATTTAAGATACACAAATTTATGTAGAGAAAACAAACGTTCTATACACTATAATGTTATTTCACCTAGGTAGTATTTAATTATGTGGATTTGTTTTCTTTTATGTTACAAAAGATGTTTTGATTTTGTCTTTTGATATGGACAGAAACTGTTTGAATATTCTTATGTTCTCAAGTCTGTAGTTACTCTCCTTGCTTTGTTTCTCACTTTTTCCACAGTTAGTGGCCATTTGTGCTTCTTTGTAATCAAACAGTTTGAGGGGAATGGGCTTATTGAATGTTGAAAAATAAGTTTAAAGTGTTTATTACCCAAAGTTTTTTACATTTGTAAACTCCAATTACACATGTGAATGTTAAAACTCTCAATGAATTGTTTATTGTTTGCAAAAATGCACTGGGCAGTAACATTTTATGATAAATCCTTTAAGATATACAAGTCATTAACTTATGTCTTATATAAAAATGAATATAAACTAAATTCCCATCTTTTAAAATACAATGCTGTGGTTAATGTGCTTTAACATTTGTGCTTTTACATTTTATATCAAGGTAGACTTCATTTTAGTTGTCTTCTTTAAAAATTAAACCAAACTCTTTTTTTTTCTTTTTTCTTTTGAGCCAATTTTAAATGCTCTTGAAATGTTGAAAACCAAGAAACTGAATACCTCCATTCCCAAAGCAAATCTTGTGGTGGTTTTATTGGTGTGGCCACAAAGAAAATAATAATGATAGTAAAAAATACATTAATGTTTTATATAATAATTATATTATGGATATGAATTCAATTATTTTCATGACAAGGAGGGATCAGCCTTAGAGTATTTTTATGTATTTAAAGTAAGAGAGAGGAAAAGGTATAAGAAACAGAAATGTGTTAGTTACATCATCACCTTCTTGGGGAGGCCTAGGCCTGTGATTTGAAAGGAAGTACTTCTCTTGTGATTATCTCTGAACACTCACTATCCACTCTCTGATTTCCTTTGGTCCACAGTGGAGGCCAGACTCATGTTAAAGTAAAGGAACTGATCCTCCTCTCTGAGGACTTTCCTTTGTCTCTGACCCTCATAGAGGGCCTCTCTAAAGCAGTTTTGTATAGTTGACCCTTGAACAACACAGGGGTCGGGGGTGCCAACTCCCCACACAGTAAAAAGTCTATGTATAACTTTCAACTCTCCCAAAATTTAACTACTGATAGCCCACTGTTGACCAGAAGCCTTACCAATAATGTAAACAGTTGATTAACAAATATTTTGTATATTGTCTATATTATATACTGTATTCTTACAATAAAGTAAGCTACAGAGAAGAAAACGTTATTTAAAAAATCAGAAGGAAGAGAAAATCCATGCACAGGGCTGTACTGTATTTATCGAAAAAAATTCTCATATAAGTGGAACCATACTGTTCAAACCTGTATTGCTCAAGGGTCAACTGTACTCAATAGGACCTGCTTTCCTAAATACGAATAAAGAGAACTGTTTCATTTCTAGGGGCAGAAGACTCGCCAAAACATTCATTCTCCATGTCTGGGGTCTTAAAAACCTAGAGGAAAATATGGCTCTTCTTGTACCCATCCAACATTGCTGCCGTGACATTTACTGTTTGTTCAGTGAAGATGTCTAGATGCTCTTTATTTTAACCTCAATTAGTGACACCTTATAAAAATATTTGTTAATAATTTTTGAATGCTTACTGTGAATTAAGAACCAAGTTTTTACATGCACTAATACATTTAATCCTCACAACAATTTTATGAGGTGGGTTCTATTATTAATCCCATTTTTACAGATGAGGAAACTGAGACACAGAGTTAACCTCAAGATCATAAATAGCATTTATTTTAATAAAAAGAATATGAAGAAGGTTTATGCTTTTTAGAAGTAAAATTTATACTAGCCATACCCCTCTCAGAAAATTTTGGTTCTTTAGTCTCATGGGAAAATTTTGTTTAAATCTCTTATAGAATTTTACATACAGTTTGCTTTAGAAAAGTAAATGCAAGAAAACATGATATGCACTTAATGTTTTATAAATATTAGATAAATTGCATGGTATTTTGGACGACTGAAACATAAACAAAAAAGGCTCTATTGCCAATAAAGTAGATAACCTAGATGAAATGGATAAATTCTTAGAACACTCAAATTAACAAAACTGACTCAAGAAAGAATAAAAAATCTGAACAGATCCACAACAAGAGATTGAATCAATAATCAAAAACTTCCAACAAAGAAAGTACAGCAGCAGGTGAGTTCACTGTGAGTTCACAGGTGAGTTGTACCAAACATTTATTTTTTTTCTACCAAATATTTAAAGAGAGGTTAACACTAATTCTTCTTAAACTCTTCCCAAATAAATAAATAAATAAATGGGGAAGAACATTTCCTTGTTTATTCAGTAAGGCCAGCTTTATCTTGATACCAAAGACAGATCGTACACCATGACAAACTAGTACTTATTGCAGGAATAAAGGGATGTTTCAACATAATGAAAATCAACCAATGTAATATATCACATTAATAGCATGAAGGAAGCAACACCTAGAAGAAACTGGGACAATGACATGAAAATAAAGGTCTTATAAAAAAATAGAATGGAAGGGGAAACATGATCATTTCAAGTGATAAGAAAAGCATTTGACAAAATCCAACACTCTTTCCCAGTATAAAGCACTCAGCAAACTAGGAAGAGAATGGAATTTCCTCAACCTCTTTTTCATTCATGAAAAACAGTTAACAACATACTAAATGGTGAAAGATTAAAAACCATCTCCTTAAGATCAAGAAAATGCCCACTCTCATCACTGCTAGTCAGTATTGCACCAGAAGTTCTAACATGAGCAATTAGGCAATAAAAAGAAATAAAAAGAATCCCAACCAAAAAGGAAGGAGTAAGCCTATCTCTATTTTTAGCTGACATGATCCTATATATTAAAAATTCTAAAGAATCCACACATACAGCAAAACTGTAGAGTTAATAAACAAATTCAGTTATGCTGCAGGATACAAGATTAACACACAAATGTCAATTGATATCTATACATTGGCAAAAAAAAAAAAGAATCCAAAATCCTTTTTAATTTTAAAGGAAATTTAAAAAAAAAAATCCATTTACAGTAGCATCACAAAGAATAAAATACTTGGTAATAAATTTAGCCAAGGAAGTGCAAAGTCTGCACACTGAAAAGTACAAGACATTGCTGAAATAAAGAGGATTTAAATAAATGGAAAGACATCCCATGTTCATCGATTGGAAGACTTAATAATGTTAAGATGGCAGTACTCTTCAAATCCATGTACAGATTCCATGCAACAATCCCTATCAAAAACCCAATGGCCCTTTTTTGTAGAAATGGAAAAGCTAATCCTAAAATTCATATGGGATTGCAACCCAGAAGAGTCAAAACAGTCTTTAAAAAGAACAAAGATAAAGGACTCACATATCCTGATTTCAAAATGTATTAAAAGTTACAGTAATCAAAAGAGTGTAGTACCGGTATAAGGATAAATACATAGACAAGTAGGATGAAATAGAAAGTCCAGAAATAAACTATGATCAATACACTATGGTCAACTGATTTTCAACAAGAGTGCCAAGATTATTCAATGAAGAAGGAATAGTTTCTTCAAATGGTGCTGGAACAACAATATTCATGTGCAAAAGAATGATATTAATCAAAATAGATCAAAGACTTAAATATAGTAGTAAAACTCTGAGAAGAAAACATAGGCATAAATCTTCATAGCCTTGGATTTGGCAATCGTTTCATATATATATCCCCAAAGGCACAAGGTAACAAAAGATAAATTGGACTTCACCAAACTTAAGAGTTTCTAGGCATCACAGGACACTACCAAGAAAGTAAAAAGACAACCTACAGAATGTGAGAAAATATTTGCAAATCATGTCTATCCAGAATCTATAAAGAACTCCTACACTTAACAACAAAAAGACAACCCATTTAAAAATGGGCAAAGGCTTTGAATAGACATTTCTCCAATGAAGGTATAAATTCATGGGCCAACAAGCCCAGGAACAGGTGTTCAACTTCATTAGTCATTAAAGAAGTGCAATCAAAACCATGATTAGATACCATTTCAAATCCACTAGGATGACTATAATTTTTAAAATAGAAAATACATGCTGGGGAGGATGTGGAGAAATTGGAAACTTCATACATTGCTGGTGGGATGGTAAAATGGAACAGGTATTCTGGAAAACAGTTGAGTGGTTCCTCAATAAAATAAACATAGAATTACCATATGACCAAGCAATTCCACCCATGGGTATATATCACCCCCATCAAAATAAAAAGCCCTGAAAACATGTGTTCAGACAAAAACTTGCACACAAATATTCATAGCAACATTATTCATAGTATCCAAAAGGTGGAAACTCCACCAGCTGAAGAAGAAATAAACAAATCATGGTACATAATATAATAGAATCTTTTTCAACTGTAAAAAAGTGGAAGTACAGATACATACTACAACATTGATGAACCTTGAAAACATTATGCTAAGCAAAATAAGCCAGACACAAAAGACCACATAATGTATGATTCCATGCATATGAAATATACAAGATAGGCAAATTCATAGAGACAGCTTGAGTCTGAGAGGAAGAGGGAGTAGGGAATGACTGCTTAATGAGTAAGGAGTTCCCTTTCAGGGTGATGAAAATGTTCTGGAACTGATTAGTAGTGATGGTTACACAACATGGTAAAGGTACTAAATGTCACTTATGGCAAATTTATGTAAATTTTACAATAAAAAGCTTAGTATGTATATTAGAAATTGTGATTTAAATATCATAACACTTAGGCATTCTCTAGATATTATTAGGATTAAAGTTTTGCACTGATACTAATCCCAAAGGTATTTTTTCTAAATGTAATCTGCAAGTAAATGAAATTTTAAAGTCAGTATCTTTAGATCATAATTCTAGTCTAAGAGTGAGAAACAATAACAAACAAAATTTGATTGGAAGCTCTTTTCCAATGCCTGGTACACAAACAGGCATTCCATGAATGTTAAAAGTGAAAGTAAGTACCTTTTCATAAACTGTATAATGTTTAAAATGTTGATAATAACTATTGAGGAACAAATATTCAGTAAAATGACATCATTTTACTGTGACTGGATTATAAATTCCCATGTAATATTTTCATTCTATTTCTTTTTTTTTTTTTTTTTTGGAGTAAAAAATTAAATGCCATGAAAAATTAAAGCCTACTTTTGGCATTTTCATCCTTTGCAATCTCAGATACTTTCCATGATTTATAAAAATGCACTAAGGCCCCCATCAGAGACTCTGTCCTTACTCCTAAGACCTAAGAAAATACCATGTTTATTTTGTATTTTCTCCTGGCTGTGAGTGACTCTGACATCTTGTGAATCTCTTGAAGAAATACTGTATTGATTGCTGTAGG